ATAACGGTGGATAACTCACTTTCCATAGGTCAACAGTGTCGGCGTCAATATCAACATTCCATAAGAGGGCCATCTTCTTGGTCATGATAGAGCTCCTCAAAGCGCTGACAGTTTCTGTCCTTCAATGTGGATGGTAAATGCACACAGATCGACATTCTACATCAAAACGAAACAGAAATGAGATCAGTAGAATAAATTTAATTTATGTTCACGGCTGAGGGTATGGAAGAAACTCAGGTGTGACTCATCTCAATTTCAAAGTCAACCTTGCCTCTTGTCTTTTGATTCGTCATCCAGTTGCTGCGATTCATGCCCACAACCAACTGACAGCAATAACTCGATTAAATCCAATATTGACGTTTGGTGTCGCAGTTCTTCAAGTACGTGTATGATCATCTGTCCATTGCCTCATGGTTACCTTTCTAGTATCTGCTATAACAGCCCCTACGGACGGACCATCCGGCGAGATTCAAAATCACATAATACAGTAACATACACCCGTCTCAGATGGGCAGCCAAACGTGACAATGTACCAATGGAAACGGGCTATCCCATGTGGGCCCATGCCAATAATTGTACCATGATACATGGGTGGGCCGAGGTCATGTGTGTACCCGAGACAAATGGATGGGCTGGGGGTATATAATACAGACAGTAGTATAGGAATGTACTAGTATACAGGACATTATGGTGAATCCGGTCTTACAATGGAGACGGGTAGGCTGAGGGAATGTATTCTTGAGGGACATGGATGGGCCGAGGGTAAAAAGTATAGACATTGGTATATAGATATACTACTATATGGGACATTATATGTAATGAATACAGTGTGCAGTGGAGACGGGTGGGCCGGAGGAATGCATGTACCCACATGACAGGGATGGGCCGAGGCCAGTTACCGGAGAGGAATGGGCCAGGTGCAGAGGAGGAAACGGATGGGCCGGGTATACAGGTTGTCCGGACGGATGTGTGTACCCACTCATATGGATGGGCCGAGGCTTATTACCGGAGAGGAATGGGTCAGGTGCACCTGAGGGAAACGGATGGGCCGGAGGAATGTGTGTACCCAGGGTGAATGGGTGGGCCAAGGGTATAAAGTGGGTTGGCCGGACAGATGTGTACCTACCTTACACGGATGGGCCAAGGTTGGTTTCCGGAGAGCCATGGGCCAGATGCATATATGAGGAAACAGATGGGCCAGGTATGCAGGTTGGCCGACCGGATGTGTGTGACCAGGGCAAACAGATGGGCCGGATGTATGTATGTACTCGCCTTACACGGATGGGCTGAGGTAATGTGTGTACCCAGGGCAAAGGGGTGGGCTGGGGTATTGTGTGTACCCATGGCAAAGGGGTGGGCCGGGGTATTGTGTGTACCCAGGGTGAATGGGTGGGCCGAGGGTATAAACTGGGTGGGCTGGGTATACAAATTGGCTGGACGGAAGTGTACTCGCACACGGATGGGCCGTGTATGCAGGTTGGCTGGATGGATGTATGTGACAGGTGCAAACAGGTGGGCTGGGCAGGATGTGTGTACCTACCTCTCACACAGATGGGCCGGATAGACAGGTTGGCCGGATGGATTTGTGTACCCAGGTGATATAGTATAGACATTTGTATACAAACGTACAATGTAAAATAGTATCTATGACAAATGCAATGTAGAACGAAACAACTAAGCCAGAAGAAACTTGTAGCACCAGACATCTAGTCAATGTTATCACCTGGTATATACATCACCGGGTGGATCGATCTTGAAGGTTTATCGTCTGGTACATCCAATTTATCAGGGCCATCTTACAAACCAATTGTCCAGTGCATCTTGAATACATTTACCGGTCAATCAAATACATAGATACAATGGACTAAGAAAAAATGAATCATGTATACTAGTATTACTTGGGCCCATCCCCGGACGAGTCCTTCGCATGCTTAGCACTCACCGACCGACCTTGTCGGCGTGATTGAGGTGCAAACGAATGCTGTGGCAAGGGAGCCGAGACAGACTGACCATCCTCGGGTACATTTGCTGACCCGGTGACCAACATGCAAATGGTGCTAGTGGAAGGCATGGATTCTGTTGGGACCATATCAGTAAGTACTGGCAGTACCCCAGTGGGCTGAATGGATGAACCGGATTCCCTCATGATGGGGACTGGATTGATTGTGGAGGTAGAGCCAGATGTGGGTGCTTGCCCATGCCTTGTCACTGGCGAGCCATCTCCAGTGGGGCAGGCACGAGACAAGAACACATCTGGAGTAAAGACATTGTTGGTAACAGCGCAACCTAATGCACTGATAGAACTGAACTCGGGGAATATGGGGGTACTGGGGACGACAATGTGTGGCAGATTGAATGCAGGTGGAGTGATGACCGATGATGCAGTGGCCCTTTGGTTGTCCCTCAAGTACCTTGCAATTCCGCCCACCTGAGCAGTCAACTGATCTACCAGTCCCTTCTGGAGGCCAAATTGTTCTGTATAGTTGGCGTGCAGCTCATCGATGCAACTGGACAGATCATTGTGAATGGTATCATCACGTGTGCATAGCTCCTCCATATCAAGCTGAATTTGTGCCAGCATAGCCTCAATCTGCGCATTGCTGAGAGGATGGGAAGACTGATGAGACGAAATGGGCATCAATGTGGTAACAGGGGAGGGGGGCCTTTGAGTGCGAGCCAGATAAATAGGAGAGTACTGGACCTCATCTGGTGTCTCGTCAAATGGTGCGGGAGGCAGGATACTATCGTCCATGGGTTCAATCCAATGGTCCTTGGGAAAATCGTCAGCGGATGCCACTGGGGCAGCACTTGGCACCATAGGAGCACCATCTACCATCTCAACATCAGCATCCAGTTCCTCTGGGATAGGACTAGGCTGCTGAGTATCTATAGCAAAGAGTTGTACTTAGTGGAGATGAGACGAGATATATGAGACTTGCCCTTGTGTCGCCCAGACTGCTTTGCCATTCTGGTGGCCCTGGAGCGAGTGGTGATGGGTGCAATTGGTGGTATGGGCCCGGTGATTGCAGGCACGTCTGGTCGCATTGGCTGGTCGCATTTCATCCTCCACTTGTTGCAATGGGTACAAGTATGGGCAACCTCGCCCCTTTTTGTGAGCCAGGTCTCACATTCAACCTCCATTTCGGTGCATCTCTTACACGGAAGAAGAGATGAACCGACAGGGTGCTGCTAAGGATGAGTATGAGCTGACTGGATAGTAATGACCGGTTGTCTCACCGGCTACGGACGCTTCCCCCTCTTCCTCTTCTCTGTTCCTAGATGCCTCGTATCTGACATTGACTATTATTTAATATCACATTAGTATCACTTACCAGCATTGCAATGAAATAAACATACCGGTTCCTTGACTTTGACCCGGTCAACATGTGGCTGCAACCGGATCAGGCATGCACCAATAGGTAGAAGGAATACATACCTTTCGTTTGTCGCCAATTAACTCTACATCTTCCTCTGGTTCGTCTTCTGCAGGGTCACCACCCTTGTTTCTGGCATTCGAAGCTCGCATTGGCCGAGTGCGGATGTCAACAACCGGTATTTTCTGAGAAAACTGTGAATGTGTTCTGATAATAAACAAATGGACATACCTTTTTGAGCACATTTTGTCTCGGTTTTGGTGGCTGCATATTTTCGTTAGGCTAGTACAATATGCGAAAAGAAGAGACTTGCCTCGACTTCTGGATCATGACTGGCATCTTTCATTGTCATTTCCTGGGTCTCATCATCCGATAATGGTGCCCTTGCTCTTGCCTTTCCTTTGCCCTTTCCCTTTACCCCATGTCCTTTTCCCATGCGAACTCCGTTGCTGTCAGTATCGGTGTCGCTCAAGATTTGCTTGGACTTGGCTATCTTCCTTGCCCTCTTGACCAGACGTGGGGGGCTGACGCTAAATTGGTGTTTGCGATGTTTTGATGGGCTGGGCATTGCACCACCAGGGATCTTGAGGATGATACTGGGACCCGGCAAAGTGGCGATTGGAGGTGCTGAGGTTTGTGCCAGAGCCAGAGCAGAGGATGAGCCTGCAGGCTCAGGCTCAGAGGATTGACCTGCCGGTTGAGGCGCAGAGGATGGACCTGCCAGTTCTGACGCAGATGATGGGCCTGCCGGTTCAGGCGCAGAGGATGAGCCAGCAGGAATGGTGGCAGTGGACGACGGACCGAGTGTCTTTGAATACAAGGGATGACTCCGGCAAATGTCCTCGTTGTTCCCAACACGACTTCAATCCGGTACTTGTGCCAGTTGTGCAGTGCCCCTTTGAGCGCGATGGATTTCAGCTGCCATTGACAGCAGGCAAAGGGGGATGTAGGTGGCCACTGTGAGGTGAGAGTGGACTGCATTGTTCTACAACCCAATCAATATTACAATGTATAACAGAATATGAAACATACCAATTGAAAAGCAATGGTCTGGCTCAATCTCATTTTATCTTCCTCTGACTGTGACTGGAGGACCTCTTCAACCAACTCATTCAACCTGTCAAGAAGATCAATGAGTGCCTGGTTTGCTGTGGCAGCAGCAGCAGAAGTATTGGTGTTGTAAGACATGGTTTCAATGAGACAATAAGGGCAGCTGGTTGGCTAGGACAAGAGAACCGATTGCATAAATTCCAATCAGGCCGCAAGAAGATATCATCCATAGAGCTGACTCTAGATAATTTGCAATTATCTCATGAGGCCGAAGGTACACAACCATCCATTTTCAGAACCTGGAAGGCACTAAACATTCATTGGTAGTGTTTGACATTTTGGAGCAGCAAGGTGAGCAGCAGATCTACAGCAACCCTTGGATGAATTGCATCAGTATGGGGGAATGTGAGTGTTGTCTTGTGCTGCTACAAAAGACTGATAATTAAGATTTTCTCCAGACTCAGATGTCTTGTCAGCTCATGACCGGTGGAAGGATGGTAGACGATTGAAGCAGACGGAACACGTCCGGTCAGGAGACATCCGGTTTGCCCACATCCGGAGACAGAACTATTGGATATGGGATTCCTCCCTCGACAAAATGTTGACCGGCCATCGACTCCTCCATCCATATCAGCGTTGGACATGGGATTTCCACCAGGCAGCGAGTTAGATACCCACCAGGCACCTGACATCATCAACAACCCTCTGGACATGGGCTTTTGCAGCATTCCAGCTCATGATGTTCCAGCTTGTGATGGTCCGGTTCAGTCATGTAGGTCTCGTCATTGTGTTGTGTTACACTGTTCAATGCAACTTTAGTAGACATGCAAGTGGAACAGATTCCTTTGAACATGGGCTTTCACACAGATCCGGCATCCTGTCACTCATGTATGTGTCATTCATTAATTTTGTTCCATCCTCATGTCGATCTGGTGGACATCCAACCGGATGATCTCCCTTTGGATATGGGTTTTGACACACTCCAACCGGACGATCGCCTTTTGCATACAGATTTCAATGCACTCCAACCGGACGAGCACCCTTTGGATATGGGATTTTGTACACTCCATCCGGTACACCCGGATCACTCAAGTAAGTCTTCTCATTGTTGTGCCTTACCTTGTTGATTGTGAATCCAGTGGATATTCAACTTTCTCACAACCCTCTGGACATGGGCTTTGGGACAGCTCTGGCATCCGTTCAGGAAGACAGGTCATTGGACATTACAATCGCCACTCCAGATCTGGATCCAGTACATGGTCTTCCAGATCCGTCATGTACGTCTCCCATACTATGAAACATCAGTGTTATTTATTGGTATTTAGTTGTGGTTGGTGAACCGGCACCCATTGGATTTGTGATTCAGCGCGCTGTAGGTGATTTGCGCTTGGTGATCCACTGGTTGGATATGGAAATTGCCCACAGTACAATGTCACCGGAAGAAGCATCTGTCAGCCAGGAAGTTCTTCAGTCTGCCAATGAGTTATTACTGGCATTTCAACTCATATCAATATATAGACTGTCAACATGATGTATATATATACATTTGATACTCTCTAGCCTTGTATAGTACATTCTATGGATCTGGATGATCACTGCCTTTGCATGTAGTTCACTTTATAAGACATCTTTGTGGTTCTCGCTGATCTCTTTGGCTCCAGGTTATCAATTTAAGCTTTGGTTGTCTTCCTTGTTTTACGAGTAGCTTGCGTCATCGAAGGTGCCGTGGATTTTGGTGTAGGTTCCTTTCGACGCATCTTCCTCACTGGGACAGCATCTTCCTGCTCTGAATCGGATTGGACAGCTCAATTTCGCCTTCCAATTGATTTGGACTTTGAAGGAAGTAATTGGACTTCTTCATCGCCTACATTTCTCTCGCGACTTGACTGGTGTTCCATCCTTCCAGTTGTCTTCCTAGTTGGCTTGCCGGTTGGTTTTTCAACCGGAACACTGGTCTTTGCTGTCGTCAGACCGGATCTTGTGCCATATCCAGCACCTTCATCACTATCCTCCCCCTCATTATTCAACTCCTGCTCTACCCGTCTGGTCGGCTTTCGTGACTCCGGCTCCATCCTTCCGGTCGGTGTTTTAACCGGAACCTTGGTCTTTGCAGTTGCCAGACCAGATTTCGTGCCATCGCCAGCACCTTCATCACTATCCTCCCCCTCACTACTCGACTCCTGCTCCACCCATCTGGTCAGCTTTCGTGACTCGGGCTCCATCCTTCTGGTTGGCATTTTAACCGGTGCCTTGGTCTTTGCAGTTGCTAGACCGGACCTCGTACCATCGCCAGCACCTTCATCACTATCCTCCCCCTCACTACTGGAGTCTTGTTCCACCTGTCTGGAGGTCCTCTTCACCGGTTCTCTCATCTCCTCGTTGTGGTTTTGCCAGCCTTTGAATTCAAATGTTGATGGAACCTCGTCCTTTTGTCTCTGATGCCAGAGCTCTAACAGCTTATCAGCTTCATGCAACTGAAGCTTTGACGGGTCCTTGATCTTCACACCAGCAGGTAAAAACTTGGACTCGATAAAATCATCCTGAGCCTCCGTCACTGCAGACCAAGGAACGGAAGCCTTTGGCTTCTGACTGCAAAACCCTGCAAGATATATAGTTGCATGATTGAATCTTCAGATATTTAGTCAACGAAACGTACTGTAGTGTCTTGTGAGGAATGTGCGGATGAGAGACTTTTTTTTCTCTAGGCTGAGGTCCTCGATATCCGGTATGACCGGAAGCCCACAGGTGTCCACCTCCAAAGCAAACTCCTCCTTTTTTCTCCTTTGCTTTCCGCTATCCTTTCCCCCCCAATCCTCATTGTCATCCTCATCATTCTGATCGACTGCTGGTATCACAACTTGGTGTAAGTACTTGACCGGATCAATTGACATTGCACATAAAAGAAGCTCACCGAACTCTTCTACGACATAGGCATTCCACTCTGATAACATGGGCTTCCAGTCCTTTGTATTGGTAAAACTATTACCTTCCAGCTGTTCATTGAAGTCCATTCTGATGACCTGATCAGCCCTTTACCAGTTGGGAGCATGAGAATGCAACTCACCCATTGATCCTCACTTCCCCTTTCTCTGTTTTCCATGCTGACAATATGAATATCCTCATACCAGCCTGCCTCCATAACTGAGTCACAAGATCTTTCATCATACCCGGAGCTTTCTTCTGAGCAAACTCAGCCTGGACATCCATAGGAGGAGCCTTGCTAGACCACTCTATTGCAGTCTTCTTCGCTTCCTCCAGCTGCTCTTCAGATAAACCTCCCATAATTGTGTTGACCGCTCCCTGGTAGTTTTTAATCATTTCCTTTCCTCCTGGCCTTCCTCCAGTCTTTTCAATTATCTCCTTCTTGTACTGGTGTTCTATCACTAACCGGGCAGTCCATTTCTTACCGAACTTACTCTCTTTTTTGAGAGTCTTTTCAGCTCTCCGATTATACAACCAGTCCCAGTACATCTTCATACATCATGAGGATGCATACAATTAGAGAATCAGTTGCTCACGGATTTCCTTTTCTTCAACAGCCGGGAATCCATCTTAGGGGCTTGCATCTTGGCCTCTCTTATGACTGCATGCAGAATTGCTTGTCTATTCTTGCCGGTGGCCTCCTTCCATTCTTCTAGGTGGGATTGTAACACCAGCAGCTCTTCCTTCGTCAATTTCTGCTTGGTCTTTTGGGGACTGTGTGCTGATAAGTTGGATCGGGCCATTGCAAAGCAGTTGAGGTATTAGTAGAAGAAAGGATACAGTATAAGATTACATAGCCGATCACACATATACTCAACATTAGACCGAACAAGAGATTGTTCGCCAGCATGTCACCCTCAGGCTCAATATGTCCTGTGTTTCTGTATTGTAGAACTTAGAATTGTAAAACATGCGAACTTAGACCAAGTTCATCATATAGCACCTGGGTCCCATACAGTAATACTCTTAAATATGGCATATAGGGAGACACATTGATACCGGAGGAAATCTACTCAAATTTGGGATGATGGCAGGATTACCATGTGTTTGGTTAACCGACTCAGATATGACACAACTTATGGCAATTGCAGACCTTAATATATTCTAAGTGGACATAATATTCCGAGATCTTCAGTGACATTATTGTCCTTTATACTAATATGGCCCGAGAACAGTGATCTAGTTGGATGATCAATTCAGTCCCTTTCTCATCACCTGAGGTACCTCAATGACTAACAGGAACAGAAGATGTTGTGCTGGTCCGGCAATTCAAATTGCTCAGAGACCGGAGTTGAAGGAGAATGAAGGCAGAACGTGAAGTCATATGCCTACAGGTCATCATACTTAACCATACTGCCCAGCCCAACAATCCTAAGTGGTGATATCAATCATAGCAAAGACTAGTAAACAACAGGGAATCACATACACTCCTCCAATAAAGAAATGATTGCCTCAGCTATATAAACTCAAGGAAAAAACTACAGCCAGAGGATTGAGGTCATCTTGGGTGAAAGATTCATGGTCTCCAAAAACGAAGTTGGTGACATCATCACCAACAAAATCTCCCTCAAAGCAAACAGCTGGGTTCTCTCAGATGCTTCACGAGGGTGAGGACTTTGACTATGACCAAGGCGACATCCCTCAGTTTAAATTACCAAAATCTCTGGCAAGCAGCAGTCATTCTGATTTCTGCAGTCTGCATCTGACTGGATAATGCAGGGGCAGAATGAATATCTTGAGCAATGGAAGCACAAGTTCAAGGACTACATCAATTTACTAATGGTCAGAGAAGCCCCTCCCCCAGACCGGCTTTGTTCAGTCTGCAAGAAGGATGGGGTTTATAAATGCCATGGCTGTTTTAATGAGCCCCTGTTTTGCACAGACTGCTGCAGAACCCAGCATCAAAGACATCCATTCCATTGCATCAGTCAATGGATCGGATCATTTTTTCAAGAAACATCACTCATTAAAGTTGGCCTGCACATTCACCTTGCTCACGATGGCACTCCATGCCCCAGCAGCACTGAATACACATCAGACCTGTTTGAATGGTCAGATACCAATGAAAATATACACTATGATGATTATCCGGAGGGAGCTTCCATTCCACTTGTCACCGACTCAGATCATCCGGCTATCACCATAGTAGACAAATCCGGTGTTCACTCTCTATCCATCTCATATTGCCAGTGTTATGACTTGGATGGTATCTGTTGGCGACGCTCAAACAGAGCGTGTGTCGTCAACGGTCGAGGACGTCCTTGGGCTGGCCCAAGGTTAGGGGTCTTACTTGGCGAGGCTTCGGCAAGTAAGATTTGACGCCTATGTCCAAATCAGGTAGCTTATGTCACGCGGGTGTGAGACGATAAGCTATATCGGCCTAGGCTTACGACACCCGAAGGTTAATCGTAAGGATCGTCGTTAATTAGAAGGACAGAAGTCCGACTAGTTAACAGGGGCTTTGCTTGTCGACGATGTCGATGAGCAAAGATCGAGACTATAGGCTTATCCGCGATGAGCAGATAAGAAGATAGAATATAGACTGCTGGCGAGGCAGAAAGGATCACTCTGATGAGAGTAGGAGGTCAAGAACCAAGTAGATTCAAGTTAGGGAATACAGTACATGGTAGCGAGTTTATATAGAGGACAGGAGACGTATTAGTGGGTGATAACTCGTACTACCAGGAGAGGTAATCGGTAAAGGGTATAACCATAATAGGAAGGCACGTTCAGGTCGAGGTAGAATGTGCTAGATAAGAAAGTGAGTCAAAGATCAAAATAAGAAGTGAAACACGCAGGGGTACGATCGTGCAGCTGCGGAGCTAAGTATAAGTCGCATGTGCGACTGCGCATCGAGTCAGAGACCAAGAAAGGGAACAGGGCAAAGGGGATGTGTCATGCATCATATCATAGGTTACCGTCCGGACGGTAAGGGCAAGGGGACTGTCCGCGGGATCAGTCAGGTGGTGGAACGGAGCATGGATATGCTTCGTCAGCAAAAGGATCCGGCCAGATGTACTGGCTTTGCTGAAGCGACAGGTAGAGAGCGAAAGGGAATGCGAGAATGACAAGGATGACCAGAGTAAGGTCGGGGTAAGGGTATGATGCAAGGGCTGATACGAGGAGGATCAGGAGAAAAATGGTAGGGGCCCAAGCGTCTAGATGTTCTTGTAACAATACCTTGATGTACAGCTCCAACCAGAAAGCAGCAGGAGTTGCGCCTGCTACAGGCTCAAAATCGTCCGGATTATTTGGTCGCCAATTCTATTAGTCGACGAGGAGCTGCCACTTGGCTTGCAACCGGTCTCACCATAGAAGAATTTCAAATCTCTCTCTCTAGAGATGTGAAAAGGCTTGGGAGACATCCTACAGACATTCAATTACTGAGAGTGGCCCGACTTAGGGATAAGCTGCAAACTCAGATAACAAGTTTTCTTGAGATGGCATCTACATATCTTGGATGCGAAGTCGATGCAAATGAACTGGATTCTCTGGTAAACAGGGATCATGATTCACCGGATGAAGAAGATTATTCTGATCTCGATGATCATGATCAACATCCGGATCCGGAAACACATGCCTCAATATTTCAACCAGAGCTTACTATCATACCTTTGCCTTCTAACCTTGGTAAAGCCAGATGCAAGGCATTGGGTCTAACCAATCTCATGAAAGAAGAAACTGTCCTCCGTGAAGGCCAAGCCAATGATGCACTTTATGCAATTAGAGTTCATTTGGTAGATAAGGCTGTGATATTCTGGGACACTGTCTGGTCAGCTAAGTCACAAGCCACCTCAACCTGGGCATGGACTCGAGTTCGTACAGTGGAAGCAGCAGTCAAACTCAATGCCAGGATATACTTGAAATGCCAGTTGCAGCTAGATCAACTCCCCAATCACAACCTCTTGAAGAAATATCTTCCATTGAAGAAAGAACACCTGAAGGCAAGCGCTGCAGTGGCTGATCCAAATGCATGTGGTCAGAGGAACACTACCCTTGCATGGTTCTGGTTGCTTGATGTTCAGGGTGATACAGCCGGAAATGACTGGATGACAGAATGTGAGTGTCCATCGCATCCGGTAATATGATGTTATCCGGTCTCACCCACTGAATAGTTTATCGGGTGAACTGGCTCCAGACCAAGGCACTTTGTGATCATTGGAATGAAGAGGTCATTCTTGTCAAACATGAAATGCAGTGGACCATCAATTTTTTCAAGCATAAGGTCAAGCAATGGCTTGCTCACATGGACAATGCTGCTTCCAATGAGATGACTGGACATGCATGTTATGCTGCCCGACAATCTCAAATATACCACGACCTGGCCGTACATGGGGCAGATTCTTTTTGCAAACTCAGTCCGGATATTCAGGGTGATATACAGGTTGTCAGATGATTCATGGTACCAGTTGTATACTTCCTAGAATGGTCGATATGTAATTTGATAGGACATGTACATAATCATACTTTGTCTGTTTCACCACTACTACAACAACAACAATCACCACTACAATTGCTACATCATCCTTCTTTCACACTCTATGAACCACACTGGAGATCTGGTTGGCTCTGAGCAAGTCATCATGGCCTATTCAGATGGTCAGGTCACTGCTGGAGATATTTCTCGTGCCCTATTCTATGCCAATTTGTGTTTGTTGGCCATGCGCCTGTATGTGGACAAGAGCTTTTCCACTTCCCTTCTTGGATATGCAGAAGCTTTTCACAAACTCATGAAATGGGAAATGGAGGTATGTGTCCGGTCATCTGGCCATCCGGTCGTCCGGTCATCCTGATATTGTATTGATCTCAAAGTTGTCATTTGTCATATAGACCTTTGTCACGCCTTTCATCAATATATCCTTCCTCAGCAGGTGCTCCGCTGTCATTCCAACACCCCTTCATCATGTGATTGCAATCATGATCGCACATACATTGGTGGACCGGCAGCCGGATGTCACTGAGTTTTTGATGGATATTAAAGCATTGAACCTCTCTGTGCACTGCAAGGAGTCAGATGAATATGACATTGCTCGTATGCCCGACTACTTTAATGCATGGTGGAAGGACAATCTTGCCTCTTGCAAGGTGTCAGACATGTTGCCAAAGTCATCTGTCCAAGATGTGATGGAGTTGGTTGAGGGCCATTTTGTAGAACTTGTGAGTCCTTGAAACATTGACAGCCTGCACAGGATCCTCACCAAATCCAACATTCAATATTATAATAGCCAGATCATGTGGAAACCGGCCTTCTTCCATATATGCTCAAGCTTGGTCCGGTTCGTACACTGGAGACAATCAGATCAGTATCACTTGCAAAGTGCCGTCAGACGGCAATTGGTAAAGATCTCATGGAAATATTGCAAGGGAGAATGATGAAACTTGCACATTCAAGTGATAGGTTGGCACACTTAGCTGGGCCGGTTGAGGAGATCACAAGGGCTGTGGTTTCCTCACAGACGCTCATGGACCGGTTGAATGCAGATGACAGTGCATCCAAAGGACAGTCGAGCATAATGTGATATCTAAAAGCATTCATTTTGTATATTTTATACTGCTTATTGTATTCAATTGCAATAGACATGGGTGGTGATTTCTAGCTTACATCTGGTTGTGTGAATGACGCTGATACCTGCTCATCCTGGTCACGGATCGATCCAACTGGTCTTCTTTTTCTTTCTTCATCCCTCATTTTGTTCCTCGACACATGGTGAGTATCCCACAAGACTGGGCATTATACCAGACCGACCTTGCCAGTGAATTGGTGTATGATACCTTTATGTCCAAAATTCATGGACGGCCGGCAAAGCAAATGAGCATTGGACTGTTGGATATCGACACCTGTATTGCTTTGGAGCAACTTGCCAATGTCCTGGCCATCGCTTACTCTAATCCTGGTATTCATTTTTGTATATATATCACCCTTTCCGGTCGACTAACTTGCCAATAGTTCATCTCAACATTGACATGGTTAGATATAATGAATCCCTTGACAAATATGAATCCGGTCAAAATGAGAAACGAGAGCAAAGTCTTTTGGACAGATTCCCTCCTGAAGAACATCAGATCTTGGCAAAACCAAGTGTCATCATTGATTCTGGGGGCAGAATTATTGTCTGGTATTTGCCTGGAGCCATGACTGGCATGATAATGGTCTGTCATCTATTGGCATTCATTTTGTATTTCATCTCATCCAGGTGTATCCAGACAGATATGCATTGTGCTACAAACTCCATGGGCAATTTGCTGAACAATAGCATCACGATCAGCAAGCCTACTGAATGGTGGACTCACAAGTCCAATTTCTATCCGAGTTTGGATGAGAAGATCACCCCCAGTTGCATCAATATATCTCCGGCTTGGTTTCAGCAAGGAAGAGAGGTACATCCTGTTCATATGAATTCAGGTTACCCATCTGAAGTGTCATAGAAATATGGTTTCCCAAATCTTGATCCAGAAGATGGTTTCTCACCTGATGTATCAGCCACATTAAAGGGAGTTGATGGTCACAATATCATGACCTCCCTCCAAAGGTCCGGTATCCTTGTCTCTGCTGCACTTCGTGTCATGCATCCGGATCTCTATCTTGCCGGAATTCAAACCCAAGTCAGACTGGGTGAATGGGCGAGCCGGTACGAGTTGCATGATATGTGCTATCATTTACAATGTTGGACATCTGTTTTCAATGTGGTGTCAGTCATTTGCAATCGTCAGTCACCACCTCATAGAGATCTGAAATGTCGACCGGAGGCATTTGATATCATGACCACCGCAGGTATTTACCATCCGGTCATCATGGATTTCATTAATCTTGGGATAAAATTCTTATATAACTCCAGGTCAATGTTGGCCTCATCGTGTCGGCTTGTGAGACATCATATGCACGTGGAGGAGGGCAACCAGATTGTCACTGCATGGTACATGCGAGATAGTATCCATAACTTTGTTGGAACTCCGAGAACAGAGTACACAAAATATGGCAATGTGAAATATGGTGACCTGATCGAGCAGAGTGCCTCTGTGTAGAGACATTATTGTACACATTGTATACGAATTTTAGTCAGATGGCCCCTTGAGTACCTACCTGATCTATACTACATACTCTCGTAGAGACCGGATGATAACTTTGACCGGATGTCCGGTGTCACATACTCCAGCCCACCCGTTTGCCTCGAGTACACACGTACTCCGGCCCACCTGTTTGCCTTAAGTACACATCCTCGGGTGCACCTGACCCATTCCTCTCCGGTAATCAGCCTCGGCCCATCCATATGAGTGGGTACACACATCCGTCCGGACAACCTGTATACACGGCCCATCTGTTTCCTCCTCTGCACCTGGCCCATTCCTCTCCGGTAACTGGCCTCGGCCCATCCCTGTCATGTGGGTACACGCATTCCTCCGGCCCACCCGTCTCCACTGCACACTGTATTCATTACATATAATGTCCCATATAGTAGTATATCTATATACCAATGTCTATACTTTTTACCCTCGGCCCATCCATGTCCCTCAAGAATACATTCCCTCAGCCTACCCGTCTCCATTGTAAGACCGGATTCACCATAATGTCCTGTATACTAGTACATTCCTATACTACTGTCTGTATTATATACCCCTGGCCCATCCATTTGTCTTGGGTACACGCATGACCTCGGCCCACCCATGTATCATGGTACAATTATTGGCATGGGCCCACATGGGATAGCCCGTTTCCATTGGTACATTGTCACATTTGGCTGCCCATCTGAGACGGGTGAATTCACTGAAGGGGCTCTCAAAATGCCGTAAGGCGCTAGGCGCAGTGCGTGTCAACCCTTGGGTCTTGGCCCCAGGTGTTCAAAAGGTCAAGCTCCGACCTTTGTATTAATGGCCAACCAGCACGGGAGACGTTCTAGACACAGGACCACATACTAGTACAATCTCGCATAGGACTCGTAAGGTTCAATATCTGATTAAAGAAAATTTCTCCCACCGCCCACACCAGCACAGCACAATACGCAATCCTCGGCTCCTAAATCTGTTGCTATTCCTCTTGTTCAACGAACCTTCTCATGATTATAATATCGGTGTAACCATGGCGTAACTACAATGCATGCTACTACCTCTCATCCCGCCATCCTCACATTCATTGGAGTCTTGTTTCGGACAACGCTCCAGAGCCCAAACGGTCAAGAATTAACTGGTGACTGTGTACTTATCATATGGACTGAACTCAAACTGCGTCATGTTAGGGCATATTCCATTGTCAATATTTGGTTCTGAACGTTGGTGTTGGTGCTGGCCTTTTTTTCCTATTTTGACGTGCTGGGGGGTTACTTATATCTCCTCACCAGTGACCCGCGCTAAAATCCATCAGCGACGCAGCCGCCCGTCATAACGTATGATGTTCCTCATTTGCTAATGCAGGGTCCTATCACGTACGCACGAATTCTCATTTGCTCATACCCCTGATTACGACTCGTGAAGTAGACGTGTTCTGTTTATGGAACAGTCATGTGAATGATCCTTGTATGTGCTTTCATACTTATGATTCTTCGTCTGCAGGATATTCACTTGCACGAACCATCAATTGTAGGTGAGTAACATCTTTCGAATGGACAGATCAGGTACACGTCAAGGGTCAACATTCTTTTAATGCGGCCTTTTTCATTATTATATTCAGGAGTCCGACGAGCCACTCGAGTCATAATATACCTCACATCATGGAAGTATGCAGGCGCGCATATTCCATTTAAAAGTTGGCGTTTATGCGCTCTTACTCTAACTTCAACGTTGCCGCAATGGTTTAAACTTTAGTTCCTGGTTCTTCTGATGAGAATACCTACTTTTCACCAAACACCGCTCTTCGAATGACTTGTATTGTACATGTGCCATGGACTTGTTAACTTCTTGAGTTCTTCGTATCCGGACATGAGGTTATGAGTCTTTGAAGTATGTAAGTACCGACACTGGCAGATGGAAAAATTGCAGTACCCGAAAATAGGTGTTATGGTCAACGCTGCAGATAGTTTATCTCATGCCCCATATACATATGGACATGCACTAGTGTTCTTTATCTGATGCATATGCTGTAGTACGACAATCTAACCAAGTTCAGACGACATTGTTAATTCTCTGACCTTGGAAGCACTAGCAGCGAACATTCATTCATGATCTACAGGAACAAAACCAACAACGAGGACTACTTTTATTCATGGTGTCCCCCATGCTATGACAGTGTATGACATGAGTAGTACTAGGTATTGCGGCAGCATACAGGCAGGTGCAGGGCGCATAGCAGCTGGAACGTCCAGATGGGTAAACCTGTGGGTGTGGGCAGTCATACTCGCACCTGTACCCGTTTCCCTGTGGATATCAACGGGTCACTGTAAAGAATATAGGAAACAATGTGTGCGTGAATCCATCAAAGATAGAGTGAAATATGGGGGAACGCTAAGTAAAGAGTCAGTGTTCGCTAAGAAGGCTTGGAAGACGAGATCACGCACCGTCTGAGAGCATGCCATGACCAGAGCAGAGCACCATCAGTGTCCAGTAAGCAGGCCAAAAGATGAGAGCAAGAAGACTCACACTGACAGCCTTTGGCGAAGAAAAGATGCCAGAGACCCTCCAATGACTCAGGTGGAACTGGCGGGTGCCCATGTGTGCTCTTTGAAGGCATATACCCACCCTTTCGATTCCTGTTAAAAAAATCAAGCCTGTTTATGAATGATAACAATACCACTTACATGTATGGCCTTGGGAGACAAAAAAATTGGTGTGGGGAGGCTCCATAAAAAATGATGATAGTACAGAGGGAGACGACATTGTAGTAGTAAGAAGATAAGATGAAAATGACTAAGTCGTACGACTCAAATACAATGTTAATGATGATGTCATGCCACATTGTGTGAGAGTTCTGCAAATACAATGCAATGTGCGCGCGATACAATGTGAAGCTCCGAAGGATCAGAAGAAACGATGCAAAACGACAAACTGTAATGTAAGGACAATGCAAAGTGACGCAAGGAACGATGCTAAACAATGTGGTTACAATTTGCTTTTCATAATCTACCCTATTTCACCCTATCAACGACGTTACAATCAGAAAATAATCAGATCCCATCGTGCCATGCCATAGTGGGTTTTCACTGGGGATCAGCGCTCAGATCCAGAGACATGCAGTATGTGTTTGCTACCTGAGAACAAATGTTTGATGAAGACGCCAACGGCGAGGATCACGAAAGTATCGCGGGTGATGCGGGATAGCACAGGAAACATTGTCTCGTGTTGTTAGTAAGTAGAAATTGTAGAATAAAATCAATTGCTGAAGATAAGCAGCTAAAATAAATAAACCTTCCTCCAAAATTATCCTTCTGTTCAGTCGCGCATAGACAAAAGCTGAGGTGAATATTGTCGTCCCTTGCTGAGATGTGCTAGCGTCTGAATCCGAGTCTGTATCCTGGATGTACCACATCTTGTGTGCTGACTTGAAAGCATGAAGTTTGACAAGTGAGACAGAGCCGGTGCTAGTAGTGGGAGTGATGAGGAAAAATGTAATACCCCAGAGTAGGAGAGTCCACGAGAATGCCGCGGCAGTAAGTTTGATAATTAAGGACTTCATCACGTGCAGCAGTTGTACACCACGTGGCTTCTCTTAGGCTTCAACAAGCTCCTGCCACACCCTGTCTGCAGTCTGCGATTTTCTTTTCTGCTACAAATCCTAGTGAGCTCTGAGCTCTGATGACCCAGACCCTCCTGTGCATCTGCATGCAACAAGGGCAAGTCCGATAGGGGGAGCACCCCAAGGTGCGGCTATAGCACTGTTCTCTCAAGCTTACTCGTAAGTCGTGTAGGAAGTTCATCGTTGTGAACTCTTGTCAGATTGCTCACCGGAGGATCTGTCAAGGGAGGAAATCATCCACATAGTCATCACGACACCTTCATCCAGTGGCGAACGAGAATACTGTCTTTGCCAACACCTGTCACCTGCTACCGTGCACAAGTAGACTCTCGAACTTTCGTAGATTTCGCGGACACGGATATCTGCACCGATACAGATTCTCGCATGTACCTGGATCCCTATGTTGATACAGATGTATGCACTGAGGCGGAGACACAGAGACGCCTGCAGTTATGCTCATGCGGACGCCTGTAGTACTACTTCTGTTACTTTCTGTATCCCAATTAGCCTTACCCGAGGTTCACTTCGCTGCGTCTTAGTGATGCGAATCTATCGCAGCTCACTGTCGGGGTCAGCCCTGATTAATAATATTAATAATATTAAAATATAAGAGCAGCACTGCCGCCAGCCTCTCAGACCCTCTCACTGTAATCTTCTGGTCATGTCTATCTGATTTCGGATCAATTGAAAGTTCATTTTGAACTAAAATGTCGAGTTTTATATCATTGTTCAACACTACAAGGCTTACAGCAACCATGAATCCTCGCGACAGACCATCAGATCCTCTTTCACAACTCCGCTACGTTCTCGAAACAATGCCAAGTTCACGAAAGTATATTTTCTCTCCCGCAACCCGTGCAGAGGTTCTATCAGAGCTTTACAATGCATTTTGGGGACCGTATTCGCATCTCTTCCTCCCATTATCCAATTCCAGTCTCCCCATGCACGCTACTCTTAGTAGCGTTCAAGTAGATCTGGGCTTTGCTGGTGCAGGTTCAGAGGATCCCATCGTTCCTGGAAGGCCGTGCGGCCATATCTTTAGCAAGGGAGAGAGTTGTTTTCGTTGCAAGTCAGTAACCCGCTCGCTATCCTGTCAATCATTCACAATACCTCTTCAGAGACTGCGCTCTCGATGATAGCTGTGTTCTCTGTAGCCGCTGTTTTCATTCCAGTGATCATTCAGATCATAACGTCAGCTTCTTTGTCGCTCAACAAGCTGGGGGCTGTTGCGATTGCGGAGACATCGAGGCCTGGCGTAAACCTATCTCATGTCCTTTCCACCCACTTTCTCCCCATGTCCAAGCGCAGATTGAACAGTCCTTGAGTGCAGCTGATGCCACTCCTCGAACCATACAGCGTTCTATATCTGAGGAGATTCCATACGTCGAGAATTACCCATACAGAGTCGCTATCCCGCCCGACCTACATGATCTCATGAGTCGCACTATTGCATATGCACTCGACTTTATTCTTGACACCCTGGACTACTCCCCGGATGAAGCGACAGTGCCTTCGAATGAGGCTGACCTACGATTGCAGCCCTCAGCAGATCCTATGCAAAAGGACCAATACGCTATCATCATCTGGAACGACGACAAGCACTCATTTGATGAGGTCATCAAGCTTATATCAGAGACCACTGGCCATGATAGGAAGACAGCAAGCATCATGGCGCGCTCTATTGACGATGTGGGCCGAGAAATAATCGACATCAACGGTGACGTACCCCGACTCCTCGAAGCAGCGCATTTGATGACAAAAATTGAACTCGGTGTCACAATCCGTCGTGCATACGATACTTTTCGCGAGCAGGTTGCTTGTGTCATTATTGAGTGGCTGCTCGATCTCACTCGAAGCCGGCTGGGGTCGGATACACTAATAATCAAAGAAATCATTGCAGCCGAGCTTCTGTCGCCGAGACGACGGGAGAGCACGTTCTTCACTTCTAATCCGCAAATCCCAAACCTCGCTGCGGATCTGGCGCGTCCATGCCGTATTGATTGGTTATTCGTCTATCATACTCGACTATGGAAGAAGCCCCGGATACATTTGAAAGCAATTTATGCGTCAATCTTGATACTTTCACATCCCCATAAGATTGCCATCGGTATGCCGCAACGTCGCTCGTTTTCATAAGCACATTTTGACGTATTGCAGCGTCCCACTTTGCCAGCACCTACCACCGTGTCGCTGACGCTTATCTTCTGGTTGACCGTGAAGCAGAAACATCCATAAAGTATTTCGCCCTCCAACTTTTCACTGCACCATCCGTTGCCCTGCACATCGTTTCTCAACATGATCTCATGACACGTCTGCTCGACATCATCGTCAACTTTTTCACCAACCACATTGCGGACAAACACATCCTCACTACGTCTCCTGCTCAACAAGACATAGACGTTGACAGCCCCCCATTCAGAAGCAAACGCTTTATGCCCGTCTTTAGTGATCTCCGCTATCTCTGTCATAACCGGCCTGTCCAACAGCTCATCGCGCGTCACCCAGCCTTCATACGCAAATTTGTCAAGGTATGCCAGGTCTTCATGTGTATCAACCCAAACAAGCGCGTCGCCTCGAATCATGTCGAGTATGAGACGGATGTGTGGATCAGTGTGTTCAATGTAACACTTTCGCTTTCCCGCGTCATCAAGGTCTACGGTGAAGCCTTCGCATTTGCGAACCCAACACAGCTTGTAGGAGCAATCACAACTGTTGTGCGGGAGATCCTCGCCGTGTGTACTCTCTCAACAGATAGGCTCGACAAGGAAAAATTTTCAAAGCCTATGCTGCACGAGGTCGAGTTTGGTGATGCACAGTATCAGATCGTCGATTTCAACGTGTTGGAAGGATGGGTCAGCTTCCATCACTCCCTTCACTGGCTCCTTGCAGATCTGTTGAAGCACGTGGATATTTTGTCAGAGGAGTCATTGAAGCAGATTGGGGTGTCTGGCGTTCGGGACTTGTTTTTGCGCCCCTTCAATGAGGGTGCCATTCTCACATTAATCGATTTCCCTTTGCGAGGTAAGTAAATTCATTAATATTGCAGCTGGTCTGACTATGGTTTCGCAGTGCTCGCTATGATTGCCCAGATCAGGGCGGGATTATGGGTCCGCAACGGCTTTCCTATTCGCGGTCAGCTTCTGCACTACCGTGATTTCATGCTTCGTGAGCTCTGCTACGACCAAGACCTGTTCATCCTCCAGTCATCTCTCATCATCCTTGATCCCAATATCATCATTGTCTCCATCCTCGACCGTTTCGGCCTCCTCTCGTTCTTCCGCGGTGAAGTCGAGAAGTCTCCTTATGAAGGTGCCCATCTTCTTAGCATGGTCGAGGAGCTTTTATACGTCCTTATAACTATTCTCGGCGAGAGAGCCAGTGCCACGAAGCTCCCATTCCAGCGTGCCATCCGTCGCGAGATTGTGCACGCACTCGCGGCGGGGCCAAGTTCATTCACTGATCTTGCCAAGCGCGTCTCTGAGAGGATGGTGGATGACGTATCTTTCGAACGCGTCCTCAAGGATGTATCTCACTTCCGTGCGCCTGAGTCGACATCTGACACCGGCGTGTATGAGCTCAAGGACGAGGCCTATGATGAGGTGGATCCATTTACCTTCCACTACACGCGGAACAAGCGCGAGGAAGTGGAGGTCATACTCAAGAACAGGCTTCGGAAGAAGACAGGTGTGAAAGACCCAGTCATCGTCCCGAAGCCGTTGGCCATTACATCCGGCCCGTTTTCAATACTCCCGTCCGTCCTGGAGTCTGAAGCCCTTCTTCAGGTCATGTTTTATGCCATACACAACGTGATTTCGCTCACTAACACTGCGGGGACGGCCCCACCCTCTGCTGAAGCTATCCTCGATCAAACATTCCAGCTCATCATGCTAGCGCTCGTGGAACGACCTTCTGTTTTCAGTCATGTCTCTGTCATCCAAACCCTTCGCAGAAGAAAGAAACTTGCCGATCTAATATGCGCCAGGGAACAACGATGAAAAATACAAACCCTACAAGAGCCGCATTGAGTGGGTCCTGACAGAGATTTCCAAGCATGTTCCGGAAGGCGTGCAGCCTCCTCGCAAAGTCCTGAGCCCCGCTGCGCCTGCACCTGATGTTGAAGGTGTCAAGAAGCGCGCAGCTAAGGCACGCCAAGAGGCCATCATGGCAGAGATGAAAGCTCAACAAGAGAGTTTTTCGCTCAATTTCGAGGAGGAAGAAGAGGAAAATGATCAGGATATGGATGAGACGTCTGACGAACTTCCCTCGTATGGCACCTGCATTGTGTGCCAGGAAGATCTCAATGAGGCCAAAGCGTTTGGCTCTCTGGGGCTTATACAGCCCAGCAGGTTGCTCAGAAAACACCCAGACAGCCATAGTCAATATCTCAACGAACTTATGACAATGCCTCAGTCGCTCGATCGAGCGAGTCCGCGCGACCACTACTTTTCCCCCAGCCAATGCGGAGGAGCTCGACACTACAAGCTCGCCCAACTTTGATGGCTTTCCCTGCACAGTACACTCGTTTCGGGCTCCACGCATCTGTGTGTGGTCACATGATGCACCTAGACTGTTTCCAAGTCTACAATGCCTCCATTCGCCAGCGACACCGCTCACACGCGACAAGAAACCATCCTGAAACAATTCAGCGCAAGGAGTACATCTGCCCGCTTTGTAAGAGCTTGGGAAATGTCCTTCTCCCTGTTGTTCACCCCAACAATGCTCCTGCAAGCCGCACCCCCTTCCCAGACTGGATTCGAGCCGCGGGGATAAGCGTCTTGAAGTCAAAACCAGACAGCGTCATGGTATGGTCTGCAGTTCAGGAGTGGGACTGGCGAATTTGTGTTCTGGAGCGCGCAATGATTCTGGTTATGGCGCAGCCATGCGCAAGCCAGAAGCAGTAGCTTCGACAAAGATGCTCGACACCCTCATGTTATCATCAAGACTGGTCTCGCAACAAACACGCCATCTTCGTGAGCGACCTGAACCAGAAGTAGGAGAAGAGGCGCGGGAATGTATCTTCCCGAAGACCTTGTCGGATACACAATTTCCGCTATCGAGGTTGCTGCTCGTGGAACTGACTCCTCGGGAGGTATTGTGGCGGATTCGCTGTCATTGTCGGATACGCAAAGTAGAATGATCCGCGGATTACTTGCCAGCTTGACAAGGACTATCCGCTCTTGAATTGGACGGTCGGCCAGATGGTGGCCGGGAATCAGTCAAGCAAGCCATAATCAAACGCTTGCTCCCAGAGTGGAGCCGAACATCACTGACCTCCTTCTCGTACCCCTTACTCTTACGCGACCCATTCACCGTGCTCATCGAGACCGCCGCAGTGGCTCCTGAGATGTTGCAGCATGTCTTGATATTGTGCTACTACGCCTGCTTGGCTCGCACAGTCATCGGCATGGTGTATGTTCTCAACAAGGCTAGGACGTACAGCGCTTTCCAGCAGCCTGCTGCTCGAGCCCATGCTGATATCTTCGGCGATGTCCGTATGTTCTTTATGTCGGTGGTGCGACATTCACCCGTCTTTGAGCACACTGCTACGCTAGTTTTTGATGCATTTGGTGAAGCTCGCATCGAGAAGATGCTTTATGCGTTTACTCTTCCATTCCTCAGACGGGCAGCAATCTTGTGTCGTTCTGTCGTCCCCGCTTACATTTCCAACTCCATTACTAGGCGCCTCTAACGTCAATGAGTACAAGCGTCTACTCGCTACCCTTGGCATTCCTCCTTTGTCAGACCTCCCAACCAAGATACGCTTCAAAACGCACTCTCCGGATGGTGCGCCCACTATGGCCACTCACATGCTGCCTCGCAACTCAACTGTGGTGTCGTACTTGACTACGCGGCTGTATACGGGATCGCTCGTCTGCCACTCATCCTTGATAACCTTTTTGGTGAGCGAGACAATGGTGATGAAATGCCACCGATGCAACACCGTCCGACGGATGCTGCAATCTGTTGATTTGCGGAGTAGTAACATGCTGTATGGTGAGCCATGTTGTCAAGACGAGTTGGGACTTAGGGGGGAGTGTAATTTGCATACACGAGAGTAAGCTTCCTCCCAATCATGCCACTAAATGATGCTGATTCCTTGTGATTGCAGATGCGGTGGTGCTATTGGTGTTATTTCGTGTGAAACGATGCTCTCTACTTTATTTGTACGCCAGCAACGGGACATTTGCACAGTCTCCTTACCTTGATGTTCATGGTGAAGTTGATGTCTCAATGAGGTCAGTCTGTTCTACCGCTTAATTTCAATTGAATGCTCAACTGCGACGTACAGACGCGGTCGTCGTCAATACATACACCCAGCTAGATGGGAAGAAGCAGCAGAACGTGGCTCAACCACGGCATTCCAACTGCTGTTGCTCGTAAACTCGAGAGCACGGTCGACAGTGGAGGATGGGAAACACTTTGATTTTTTAAAGAACGCTATCTCGTGATTTTAGCAAGTTATGCATACTACTCACAGATCATGTATACAACGGGTGCAAATGGACAATTAGAGATTCGATGATGTTTACTTTATTTCGAAACGCTCGTTTGCAGGAGCGCCAATTTCAGCCTTCCTGCTGTCCGTTCGGTGCCAAGTACATCGATAATCTCAGGGAGGCTGGGCCCCGCTTTCATCCCAGATAGCGCGTGCCTCAAAGCAGTCATAAAGACTTTTGACTTCAGGCCTGTTTTCTCGCACCCATCGTGCAAGAAAACTGCAATGTCCGATTGAGTCGATGGCGATGAAGACTCGAGTTGCAGAATAACTCGTCGTAGCACATGGTCTACAATGATGTAAAGCGATCAGTAATGCTGATTACTGACAGTGTGCGACTTGCCGTAGTCGTCAGCTGATATTCCTCGCTTCATGGAACGCGCTTCGGACAATTCATAATCTGGCTCCACGAAAAAGAACGGAGCAAGTGTTGGAACATCATGAAGATTCGTGATGCGACCTGGGAGCACTATAGCTATACGTTCATCCAGTAGGTAACGCATGCTCACCTGCAAGACGCTGATCACACGCGTGATG